TCGTGTTTTCAATCCCATTCCCAAAACCTGGTATGTTTTTGAGGCCTCAGAGTCTCCCATGGCCAGCACCTCCTGTTGTCAGGGATCAATATCTCATTTTTGCGGGGCGGGGGGGCGGAAGTCGGTCGGGCAGATGTCATGTCCCGGCCTGCGACCGCAGGAGCCACAGTGACGCTTAGTGACGCGCAGGGCCGCGGCATTTCGCCGGAGGTATCTAGAAACCCTGAAAGCTACTTGGGCCCTGCCAGCAGTCCGAAGGCCTAAACAATTCCCAGCGTTTCCCTCTTGTTCTTGCTGGTTCTTTGCAAAGAATCAAATCAAGGGTTTTTGACCAGTCGTTCAAGAATCCACCTGCGGCAGGCCAGGAGTCTTTGCTATAGTTCTCAAAGGAGCTGACTTCGTGTTCGAGGAAACCCTTTAGCCAGCAAGACATGGGTGTTGTCCGGGTTCGTGCAAATTTGAGCCCAGAAATTACAACGGAACCACCAAGAACTTGTGGAATGATTTCGGATGGTGATGTTTAGTCCCAGCCCACCCGTCCACCATTGAACAGGCGTGCACGGGGAAGGGGCACCCTTTGCCCTTCTGGCATCCTTTGCAGAGTTTGACCGCGGCTCTTAAAACGAGCATCTTCAGGATGTTTGACGATTTCCCCAATTCCTCCGGGGGGTGGTTTCCCTTGGAGCCATCATTGGCTAATTTTGAGGATGTCACTTTAACGGACTGTTCAAGTGAAACCAACATGCAACTTGCTTTCGGGGTTGTTTCTCTTTACAGCGCCTAAGGGCGTCACTGTCAGGACCCAATCAAAACCTTGTTTGATAGGAGTTCAAAGGTGATCACCTTGCTTCAAGGTACCTTGCGAACCCAGCGCTTTTCGCGAGCCATGCGTGGCTCCAGATCGATTGCGATGCGACAGCGTGGCACAAAACAGTCGTTTTGTTGCGCCTGGCAAAGTACGAGGCGTGACAGGGGTGCGTGAACTTTGTTTGGGGGCCTGAAAATTGTGATTTTCCTTTTGGCTTCCCCATTAAAACCACCAAAAAGGGGGTGCCCTACAAGAAGATCCGCCCGTATTGAGTGGTTCAGACATCACCTCTTTAGAGAAGCTTGCTTTTGGTGGGTGGAAGTTGAAAGGGATCAGTAACCCTCAGGAACCCTCCAAAATTGATTCTTTCACATGCTTGAATCATGTTTGCCAATCAGGATTTGCATGCGGAGTTAGTCACTTTACACTTTCTGTAGGTAGGTTTATTCACCGTTTAGTCAATATGTTGTTCTGGCCAGTCAATTGAACAGGTCAGGGGATTCCGATCGCTTGCATCAAAGAACAACCATGCAGCATCCGACGTCGGAACCCATTTGTTCGAACCCATTTAAGGTTGCCCAATGTTTGGGCCAGTTCCCTTTGGAAGATACAGGGACGTCCAAAGCGTCAAACAGTTGACCCTGGAAAAAGCGTCTGAAGCCCCGTTTCAAGCGTGAATGCAACTCAAAGGACCTGTCAAAGGATCATCTGAAAAAGTCAATGGAGGCGACACATGGTTCCATGTTCCCTTTATTGGAGACCCGACGAATGGAGTCCGGTTGACTCCCCACCTCCCCTGCCTCTTGACCAAGACGACCTCGCTCGCAGGTTGGGACTGTTTGCGGATGTCTAGTATGGCCACGTTCAGCGGTCCAGCATGGAGAAGTGTAATGGTGTCGGGGATCTGGACATATTTTGGGGGTAGGGTAGACAAAATATGGGTGTTTCTCCAGGTGGTTTCCTTTTGGTTTTCCCTGAAGCACTATCTTGAGAACCCCCTCCCCATATGAAGCAGTATTTGAGCATCTTTTTCCTGCCCTTGAGTTGGGCCATTCAGAATGGACACTCACATATTACATCTTAAACCAGAGAATAGTCGGAACCTACCCGGGTTTCTGAAGAGACTGATGGGTGAAGAGACCGGGGAACCAAACCTGGACTTGCCATGAATCAACGAAGGTTCTGAACGCTGTGTTTGGTATGGACTTTAGCAGTCTGTCGAGGTCTTCCTTTGAGATTTGCGGTTTTGGAGCGGCCTCAAGCCACCTGACCCTGTGTAGTATTGTCAAAAGACTTGGTGTTTTGTTGGGTTCTAATTATGGCCATCAGCGGACTTGCGGACTTTGGGTTATCGATCTGGGACTCTACGTGGCAGTTGCCTTGCAGCCCACCTCGCAGCTTCTGGCGAGCCGAGAGAAGCTGGTATTGGGTCCTGTCCAACTTTCCAGCCTCTTTCAGGGTCTAACTTGGGAGCTGCCTCCGCCCGAGTTGAAACCCCATTGTCCACGCCACAAAGAAACACTCAGCTCAAAGATTGCCAACCCCCCAAGCCATGGTTGTTGGGAAACATTTTGCATTTTTATGCTTGTTGTGGTTTAGTGGTTGAAATCCCCACTCAACTGCTAAAAAAATATTTGTTTGCTCCCCTTCCAACATCCTCCAAGCCTCCAACTCCCAGCACCCCTAAAAAATCCCCCCCATCCGCCCGAGCCCGGACGCGTCTCGGGCGCATGATGCGGCTGCATGGCCCATGGCGTCCGGAGGCCGCGGAGGCCGCGGATTCGGGCCGTGTCGGGTTGCCACGGGTCCTCACCAGCCGAATCCTAACTGAGGCACTTGCTCAAAACCGATTCGGGTAGATGAAGGTTAGTAAGGGGCAGTCCCAGCCAGAAATAGTTGCGGAATACGACCATTTTAATACCGGGTTTTGATTGTGACTCAACTGGCAACTGGATGCGTTTTGCATTCAACCAAAATCCCCGGTGGTACGGTAACCAAACAAGAAGTTCTTGAGGCCCAGGTGCGAATACATGTCCGTCTTGTGTTTTTTTTTGTGCCGGGGGGGGTCGGACTTTGTCTTGGCCATGAGAAGTCTCCTTTGGGATTGCTCCAGTTCACTCCTGGAACTTTCCCCGTGGCCCACGGGCCACTGAGATTGGTTTCTGACCGGCATCTCGCAGGGCTTGAGGGTGCCAAGCCGTGGGCTGAAATGTCCCGCGGTTTACTGACATCAACTAGGCCCAGCTAGGTGCCCTTTCTCTCCCCTTTTTTGGGGGAGGGTTCCCCTACTAAAATAGACTGCAGAAAAATGGGTACCGTTGTTCTAAACTCTCTACTGGAGGACCTTGTCAAGTGGCAAAGACTCCGTGCCTTTTTGTGTTTCCCAGGTGGAGAGGTGCCTTCAGACTCCTATGGTCACAGTAAGGAGCCCCTCAAAGGATGGGGTAATGCTGTACATGAAGTCTAGGAAAACGTTCCCCCTTCACTCATTTGTGCCACACATTTGGGATTCAATGTCAATCGCAGAGGTCCGTACATGTTTGTGCTTTGTGATTTAAACGGGTCTCATAATGAAATGTGTTTATCCTCAAGTGTAGGTACCCCTTGGTTGGTGGTTTGGCTTGGTTCTGGGATTTGAACCCGGGGTTAGTGAGCGGAATCTTTGGAGGGGAATTCTGTTCATTCTCTTTGGACACCACACATTTTCCAGGGTTTCGGCCCATTCTTTGAAGAGAATGATGCCTGAAGAGACTGGGGAGGGTACAGCCAGATTTGTTTCGGTTTCAGGGAGGGGCTTCCCCTGATCAACTACCCAGAAAGATGCATTGTTCCGAAATTTCTATCGGAGAGTAGGGCTCTTGTTCGCCAGCTTCCAGACACCTGTGTTGGCTGGGATTTCCTATGGAGAAAGCAAAGTTTCATTGCTTTCTGTCGTTCATGGAACTCTTTGAATTCCAGAAAGCTTGCGCTGGCCCACAGAGGAATGCCTCACTTCAACCTGTTTGAGCCTCTTGTTTCAACCCAATTGGTGTTTTTGGGCGGGATTTACTCCTTGGAAGCTGTTTAGACTCACATCCCCGTGTTGGCAACTCCATTAAGGGCCGACTTGCCGCAACTTCACCGATCATTACCCCTATCCCCTAAATGTGGGTACACTTTTCTGTACCCATATATTTGGATTTCACTCGCATCCAGGAGCTACCTTTGGGTGAACAGGACTATCCCCTCGGTGAAATATGTACTGTTTAAGTACCCATGTGAGGATCGGATACCAAAAATGGTAGGCGTCCTCTTGGTTTCCCTCTAAAAGCAACCAAAACAAGGTCCCCCCCCCCAAATAAAACAATCATACCCGTGGTATTTCGGAAATGTTCCAAAGACCCTACCGCAAGGAAGCAACAGGACCCCCCTGTACCATGTTTTTTCTGCCTGGTCACTTTGGTCTTCGGAGCAACCTCGTGTTTGGTCGCTTCTGTCTTTCCTCTGTCACGCTCAGATGCCAATCTCTGGCCATGCCTCTCAAGGCGGGGTCGGGGCAAGTGGGCGCTCAGAGCTCTGCTTTTCAGCTCTTTGTACGGTCCCTTTAACTTTTCAGCCTTCCAGAGAACGTGTGTGTGTGTGTGCTTCCCATTCGGAAATGGGGTGGATACTTACGAAAATCCAATGTCATTCGGGGATTGCAGATCGACTGTGGCTTATATGGAGTAGTAGGAACCAGCTTAGACCTTGCCGGTTTTTGTTTCATGGTTGTGGAACTCTTGGTTTCAGTGTCGCTTTCTGTGTGAATTTCCATGGAATCCTGCACAGTGATGAACTTGTCAACTAGCCATGGGGCTATATGGGAGTTTCTGAAGTTTGTGGACCCCTTTTTTGGTTGGTATTTAAAGGGAAACCACAGGGAAGCCCACCATTTCACAGGACCCTATGTTGAGCAACACGCATAGCAGCAACCATCGAGCTTTGAGAACCTCGCAACCTCAGTGACTCAGGCTTCGATCGAAGCCATCGGTGCCTCGAAAGACCAGCTATCAGGAGCCGGGTTTTTCAGTGGGTGTCTCTGAAAGGGATGGCCATAATTCAAAGTCTTTTTTGGCTGGGCTCGGATCCGCTTCGGTCCGGCATGGCTGGTTCTCCCCGCCCTCCAGAGTCTCCACCCAGTGAGTGGCGAAGCCTGTAAAACACACATGTGCAACCCGTGTTTTGTTTGGGTTGACGGGGTTCCATTTTGTTTTTGGGGGCATGTACTTTTATCATAGCATGTTTCATGCCAAAGCCCAACGCGGCTTTTGGCTCAAGCTTTTGCCACGGCACTTCCCTTTTGCTGTTTCGTCACTTCGTGCCATACGGCGCGGCACGTCATCCACGGTCTGGAAAAGGGCCGAGGCTGGCGCGGCTGTGGTTGGCCTCGAGGTGGAGCAGGTCAAAGGCTGGAGGTGGTGGTTGCTGGTTGCTTGGTTTGCTTTGCTTGCTCGCTTCGCTCGCTTTGCTTGCCCGCGTTGGTGCTGCTGCTTGTGCGCTTGCTGCGCTGCTTGCCCTTGCTGGGTTCTTTCTTCTGTTTGTTAAACTGGCACCCCTTTTGGTTCGTGTTTGTGCCGGCCGGGGGCAACTGCTTTGCTCTTGGGACCGGGGGGGATAAGGTGGTCTCTTCTTGTTGGTGGGTTAGGGCCTGTTTTATCCATCCCGAAACTCTGTTTCAAACCCTTTCGCAGGTTATCAGCCGTAGGATTCGTCCTCGGTTGGCACCGCGAACCCCTTTCTAACAACCCTGCAGGCATCGTAGGGTAGTGTAAATAGTATGGCGGGAATCACTGAGGATGGACCTCATGTGGTGACCGATGAATGGGTTCTCGGCCAGGCCGGAATCTTGGACGTTGTGAATGACGACCAAGTGCCCGGACAGCCGATGTTTTCCGGTCCTGACTTTTTGTCGGACCACACTTTTTCAGAAGCAATGCCTTCAGGAAGGTCCAGTGCTACTCGCACTGATGACCTATCGTCTAATGCCTCAAGAGCTAATCGCTCTCAGGGTCATGGGGCTAATCGTCCTGACCATGATGATTTCGTCTCAGGACGTGATGATGACGAGCCCGGTATTGCACCTGGAGCTCAATCCTCATCTTTCCCGGAGCTGATGAATATTGGTCAGTCCGAGTTTCGTGACTCTCGAAGTAGCAGTAGACCTGTGCCAACCAGTAGTATAGTTTTTCAAGCGCTCGGTAATCCCGAACCTGGTACACCCAGTGGAGTTGCATTTGACGTTCATCTGCCGACCGAATCCGGTGGGCTCGATTGGAGAGCCTCATGGCCCGATGACGGAAACATTTTTGGTATGGATTTTGCCGCATGGATGCCAGGGCCACCCGCCCCGTCATCTTTCCCGCAATTCCAAAGCCCAAAACGGGCTGCTGGAAGCGACGAATTCATGCTACCTTTGTCAATTGAGAATCTCAATCCTGACGTGGCCAGCCGTAACGTCAGGCCGAGACCGTCGGAAAACCCGACCATGAGGAACATGTCCCCTCCCCCAGGACTTCCAGGATTTGAGAGCCCTAGGGAGCGTAACATCGTAGATAGATTGGATTTGCATCCCAGTCCAACCCCGAGCAAACGATCAAGGTCAAATTCGACTGGATCGCATAGGGCAAGGGGGATGGATCGGGAAACTGCCCATAGGGGTAACCCCAATACGCGGGACTCAGGACGCGGTCGATCAGGTGACCCAGCGTCGATCATTGGTAGAGATCCGCTGAACGCGGACACGTTGATTAACGTGTTTGATGGGATCGAAGCATTCCAGGAGGAATTCAATAGGTCGAGTGGCCCGAATGTACAGCCTTTTCGCCCTATGCCCAATGCGGCTTCCTCTCTCGCCATTGACAACACAGACGGAGCTGATGTTCCGATTGAATCTGAGTCCATGATGGCATCAAGTTCTAATCACAACAACACCGTCGGCAGCGCTACCGATGTTGAATCGATGTCTGAGTCTAGAGCGTCCAATGCGACTGATTTGCATGACGTTGTCGTTGCTGATATGAAGCCTGAAGTTCCTATGCGGACTGATAGGCCGGTAGTCCCCAAATTGTTTGTGACAAAGGGTCTAGGCATGCCACAGCCATCAGCTGTTCGTGATGCCAGAAGATCTGCGCCGTATCAGAGTCAGTCTCCGAATCGGAGCGAATTCCCACGGCCATCAACGGCGGTACAAGATGATTTCAGGACACCTCCGAGATCTAATCCGATCATGGTTGATTTGTCCACCCCTCGAGATCGCGGATCAGGATTTGGTCCTGCGAGTGAGGAGCAACCCAACGAGGTTGCTGATCTTGTAACAGCCCTTGAAAGAGGGAGAGTGGACTCTTCGGTAAGTGCGATCATTCATCGCCTGGTTGCTAAGGTCGAAGACCTAGGGCGTAGGAATGATAGAAGTGATCAATGCATCAAGCAGCTCTCCACTGAGGTTAACTCGTGGAGGGCCAAATACGACCAATGCGTCCATGTGAATAGCACGTGTACGCAGGCTGCGAACGCGGCCATGCAGCTGTCACAAGGGACTAAGGACATCGTGACCGAGCTTGGCCAACGCGTCAAGATCGTTTCCAATCGCATGATAAGCATAGGCGATGCCCTAAATGAGCGAGCCAGCTATGATGATGTTGCTCGCTCCATCACCCAAGTTCAAACTGTTTTTGAATCTCTTTCTGATCGAGTAACCGGGCTTATAGCTCGTGTTGATATGATCGAGAGATCTCTAGTGGAGAGCCAATCCAACCATCCTGCGATTGGTGGAGTAAACCTCAAAATCGAGGACCTGTCCACTAGGGTATGTCAGATTGATAGGATGATGCAAGATGTCGAACAATGCTGGACAAATAATAGGGACGGCATAAAGTGGGTTAAAGACCAACTTTATGAGACACAAGCCAACCTTGAGATAAAGTCGAGGGACTGCAAGTCCTACACGGACAAGCAAAATACTCATAACATGGCCGTTTCGACTACGCTCAACAGTAAGCTCGAGCAAATGCTCGAGGTGCTGGGTAATACGGCCCAGAGAATTAACTCCCTCGAGTCAAGGCACTCGAATCAGGCATCAAGTAGTGGATTGAGGCGTGCCGCGTCCCGTACTCCGGATAAGCGGCCGGCCCTCCTGATGATGATCCTCCACCACCTCCTCCTCCAGATCGGCAAAGCCCAGGAGGAGGGGGGAAGAAGAGTGCTGCCGGTGGGAACCCTGGCGACCCTGGTAAACCCAGGTGTAAATACGTAGGTGATGGTTATAATCACCTCATGGCCGAGTTTCACTGCAAAGGATGCAGAGGTGATATTTGTGAGTATTGTTTCTCGTTCAAAGAGAACTTGTGTGAAGAATGTTCCCGTAACGGACCCCGATGCGGTGTCTGTAGGGAGAGCTCGTTCCTGACCAAGGGAATTGAGTGTCAGTTTTGTAGGACCTACTACTGCACCAGACATTCTGCTGGGCAGGATGACTACAGGAGATTTGGATTTGTCCAGGGTCCCTGTTGTCTTGCGTGCCTTAGGGACGAAACTAGGAGAAGAAGGGATCCCGATGGTAACCGTGTCAGGAATAGATCTCCTGGAGGCGCACCTGAGACGAACCCGACGCGGTCGTACTCGCCGCCTCTGCGGCCACCCGTTGACAGATTCCGTGACACTCCCACTGGGGGTCAACCCAACGCGGCTGACCTTCAGAGCCCTCCGAAGGCTACGCAACCCGTGCCCCTGGATAAACGTGAAACCGGATATTATCCAGGATTTGATCCAAACGGTACAAGGCCGAAGGATCCTTCAGGCCTTGAGCCGCCGACCATGCGTGGCCCCGATCCTCCTGACAAGAAATGTCGGATGTGTGATCGGGATATTCCTGACCCCAGCAAAATTGAGGAATGTAAGATATGCATGAAAAGGGCATGTGAGATTTGCATTCCGAAGGCTACTCGCCTTTGTCCTGTATGTGCATTGTCAATCGGTAGTTCTCAGGTTCCACAGCATCTTTTCGGAACTGGTGGCGGCGGGTACGGTAGCCACCATGATCCGAACTGTACAGCTGCGACTAAGTGCATTCCCATAGACCTCCCGCCAGAGCCCGACGCGGCTGGGCTGAGGGTATGGATAGCCAATATGAAGGAAGCTGTTAGCAATGCCTACAGCTATGATGGACTTTACGTCATCAATTGGCTAACTGAAGTCGAAAAGGCAAAGACCTTTGATGAACTGGATGGGGAATGTAAGTACCACATCCTTGAAGCCAGGTTCAATGCAGCCATTCGGAAGTGCATCAAGACTGTTGCAATTATCGATAAAATTAATCGTCTCACCGAAGCCGCTCAACGTTCCAACAATCGCATCAAGAGTAGGCAGATCCTGTGGCTCTTATACGACCACTTAAGGACTGCAAATATCGGAGAGCAATCATTCAGGATAATTGAGCTCTCGAACTTGCGATGCAGTGTTTCATCTTTCTATACTGAAGAGGAGCGACTTGAAAGGTTCATCGCGAAGTGGGATCACATTCTTGCGGGTCTCGATGAACCGCTGACCGAGCAGGTAAAGCGGTCGCTATTCAGTGAGAAGGTTAGGCACCTCAACTGTTTGGCTCATGATATCAGGGAATGGGATAGGAACATATCCAACCCTGATGTTTGTAGCTATGAATGGCTTCGTGCTCGTTGTAAGAACGAAATTGACCGCTGGAGGGTTCGTAAGAATCAGGTCAATATGCACAAAGACTTTTACGAACGATCTCAGTCCAGGGACAGAGCCCAGAAACCTGGTGCTCCTGGTCCTCCCGTTAGGAGACGATCTCCTTTTGGAGATTCCCATAGGCCTAATCGGCCCCCTAGTGATCCGAGGAAGAGGACCGGTAATACCCCTAGTCCTCATCGAAGGGACAGGTACTCTCCCAGGAATCGGGAGCAGGACAAGCGGCGTACGCCTAGCCCTAGGGGCGAGCCCCCAAGGAGGCCCAGATCTACGTCGCCCGGCGCTCCTGCGATTGATGCATGTAGGGA